ATATATATATATATATCCCTCAGTAAATGAGAGAAGGTCAGCTGTTGGATTATATAAAGATGCTTTGCAAACTAAACAATGGTCACTGTTGAATTTAAGCACCATTATCTTTATGTATTTATTTCACTTATTTGTCGAACTTGTTTTGTTTTTCCATACAAAAACATTTTATCGTCATTTTCAGTTAGTACATTCACAAACATTATCAATGCAGTCAAGTTTCGCAAATCCCTTTCTTCCCTCCCTCTCGGCTTGGTTTGCCTGAAATTTTCCACCCTAACATCTTCATATCTCTCCTCTTTCAGTGCATTGCTTTCCATTCTGCTGTATTTTGCCACTAGAAGCGTAAATATGAAATTATCCAAGTCTGAAAGTGGGTGAATGGTCTTTATCGCAGGTGTGAAGTCAGAGGTACATCCAGGCAGGGATATTTCATCCAGAGTAACCAGATTATCTGGAGTGTAAATGGGTAATTTTGACTTGGGTAGCTAAGTCTTTTACATAGGTGGCACCAAGTAAATGGTGTTAATGCAGTCTCGCTTTGTTGGGGCCAGATGGTTCCATTTGAACCGCAGACTTTTTTTTGCATAGAAATATAAGGTTTAGGGCTTGTTCACACCAAATGCAGACCACATCTGCATGAGTTTCTGCACACGCAGTGCAGTGTGTTGTGCTGCGTTTTTGCGGCGTTCCAGGCTGTTTTTGGTTAAAAAAAGTTTATTTTTTTTTTAGTTTAGAATGGGCTTTTAGTGCGTTCCAGGGCGTTTGCATGCGTTCCAGTGTTCCAGAGCAGGGAAAATAGGGCTTGCTGCAGTTTTTTTTACATGCTCTGGTACTGAATGCTGTGGTGTGAACTAGAGCCCAAAATACCATTGGAATACATTGGACGCAGTTTTGATCCGGTCTGTAACTGCTCTGCTCCTGGAACGCGCTTGGTGTGAACAAGGCCTTAAGCAATTTCTTGTGGTGCAACTTTATTTGGTGTCTATGACATTAGCCTCGGCCATGACAAAAGGAAGGTTCCCATAATCATGTTGGTAAAGCTTATTACTGCTCTCCATTATACATTTCTATGGACCCACCTGAAGATCTGACAGGTTGTTGTCTCCTACTGGCAAGTGGATTTTTACACCTATAATCTTGTCACTCGTGTGTATGAGGGCAAATTCAGTGACGGTTGGTTTAGCAAGCAAAGAAAATGACACCTTCAGATGCCCCATGCTTTCTGGGAACAGTGCAGTGCAAGCAACTGTTTCTGAAAAAAATGTAAGACCTTACCATATTCATTGCTTTGTCTGATCCATTCAGTAAAGTGTTTCTTAGAAAAAGTAATTATAACATTTAGCAGCTTAAATACAATTTATAATGTCAGAAAGAAAAGCACTAGACCCTAGTATCAACAAGTGAGATGTTAGCTGACACACCAATTACCTTCATTCCAATTTTTGAATAAGCTTGGATATAAAATGAGACCTGTATTGAGAGAAATATGGAGGCTGCCACTGCTGACCTTTTCTCCTAGAAGTTCTTGTTACCTGGCCGCCAAGCCGATCCACCAGCTCCAATCTTTTCTAAGCTGACACAAGCAATCAGACTGAATTCTGACTTTACTAGCTGTATGCTTGTTCTAGGTCAATAATTTAGGATTGATGCTGCAAACAGCCAGGTAACTTTAATTTACCAAAGGAGATCAGCAATGTCAGCACCCATATTGTCCTGATATATTATTCAAGTAGTACAAATGATATTGGGTCCACACTTTTAACATTCAAAATGAGTTGTCCAATTTATTTTTTTCAAAAGGATTGTTATATATTCCAGTGAGCTGAAAGTAGACCTGAACTCAGTAAGTGCCCAGAAATTTGCTGTATTATAGGGAGGATCTGGAAATGTTATTGTGCCGAAGCAGTACCCTGAAAAATCTACTATTTTGAATTCCTCCTGAAAAACAGCAGTGCACGCCCTGGTATGTGATGGTGTCTGGGCACTACTCCGGCACTCATAGCTGTATATCTGCAGTGTGAGATCTAAGGCTCTGCTGCCTCTGACTGCTGGTCTTAGGAAATTTGGAAATACATTTGGTGATGTCACTACTATAATGCTCATTGTTCTCCTTGCTGGAGGCTTTAAAGGCAAAATAATAAATGCACAAGCGTTCATTTTGTTTTGCAGTGGAGCCAGTAAAGCATTGCAGCCACAATCATGGGACTTTGGGTGCAATGCTCTGGCTTCTGCAGCCCCCCTCCCCATCTCCTGTCCATACTGAGGTACAGGGATAGGAGGAAGTATAAATGGACTACAAGTGCACTGACGTCACCGCAGTTGTACTTCATTAGTTGCAGATCCCGTCAAAGGGTCTGTGAATGGATGACGTGGCTGTGCAGGCAAAGCCACATTCAAATTCAGAAGATACTTGGATGCTGCGTGGAGAAGAACCCTGTGATTTAGGTAAGGGGAGTGATGGAGATTGAGGTCCTGTTTCATGTTGCAGCCTAAATATGGGTGTAACATGGTCTCAAAAGTAAACTTTAACATGAGGGAGCAGAGCCCTTCTTCTACCAAGATGGACAGCTCTTTAAAGAGAATGTGCAGGGCAAGGTATGACAGTTACATGGGCACATATCAATAGAAGTCTTATGAGGCTTATAATTCCCTTTATTGTCAGCCACTGTCAGGTGTTTCTTTTGTGGATAGCATCCACCCTGGGGACGTGGGACTGGAACAGAAGGGTAACCTGTTTTGGTGATGCTTTTAAAGGTTGTACTTGATCTTTCTCCATAATAATGATGCTCCAATCATTAAATAAACCAAAGTAAAAAGAAAAATAATTTGTAATCTAGTTGTTGGGGGCTTGTTCTTAAATTTAATTTTAAGTTGTCTCGTTCTAAGGTCATATAAAATACTCATATTGCCTGCTTTATATTGTACCTTTTCTGTGATTTTAAATTCTTTGAATAACAAGCAGATTATTGCCAGGAACATGTTTTTGGTTTTCGTATCTGGTACAATGCATGATAGTTAAACTGTAGCTAGGTTAACTATTGTGTGTCGTTTTTTGGATGCTACCGTACTTCTGGTAGAACAATGCTAGCTGGGGAGGGAACAAGAGTAGTTGAACTGTTGACAGTGCAGCTGTGACATCCACTTTTTTTTCCAAGGCAGAGCTGGCTCAGCGAGCATGTGTGAGGAACTGCCAGCAGTTGGAGACTTTTGGCAGAGGCAGAGGGAGGAGGGAAGATGAGGGGGGTGGCAGCGAGTATCAGACAGTCTTGACTAAAGTAGCGAGGAAAGTGTTTCGACTATGGAATGACGCACATTGTGTCCTGTGCTAGAAATGGGGTGGAATTAAAACCCCTTTTACAAGTGTCAACTTCTCCTTGTGACAGGGAGCAAGCAGCGCAGCAGAAAGCAACGTGTTAATCAGGGGCTGCCATTGTGTCCGCCTCTCAGTTTGTTTCCGAAGCTGCTAAAAGTTGAAGTGGCTTTTAAGAGCAGTAGCAGCGAGAAGATACTAGCACGTTTGTGCCTTGCTTCAGGCGGGTCGGTTACGGCATTTGTTTCTTTTCCTGTTTCTCTGTAAACGTTACTAAACAGCTGATGGTTCGCTCCAGACAGACAGCCTAAGGATATGAGGCTGCATTTTTTGTTATCTCTTTCCACAATACAACCAGTTTCCTGCCACAGAGCCTCTAGCTCTCCGCTGATGGCAGCTGATAATTGGTAGCCGCGGTCTGCTGTCTGAGCCACAGTAGTTTGTGCCTTGCACCTGGGACCTGCTGATAGAAAGCGGAAGACGGGGGCAAAAAGCTTTGCTCGAAGACGGGACTTTCACTTTACAATTCCTCCAGCAAGACTGCTTTTCCAAGTAACGTGGGATGCTAGAAGAATAGGATCTTTTGCATACATGTCACTAGCCACAGGACCTGAGTATGTCCAGTGATCACTTCAACACCACAACACTGGATGATGCTGGAATTAAAGACCTGTTTTTGGTAAAAGGTATTCCAATCTTTTGGTTTAATATTTGTGTTGGATCTGTTCGACATATAACTGCTGTATTTCTGAGTGTATTCATTGTGTATGACTGCTTTCTGTAATGTTGTATACCAGTAAATCTCACACCCACCTTGTTATGTATGTTTGTAGGTGGCTATATTTTGACAATCTGACTTTTCTTAGTTGCAATTCATGATTTAAACATGTTGGAATAGTGAATGGCGTTTTCTGTAAACTGTTAATGAGATGTCTTGGGCACCATAATAGAATTTACTCGTATTTTTATCCACTTGGTGGATTCCATTGTATAACGAAGGTTGTGTTTGTTAAAAAATATTATACTTTGAAGTTAGACTTGTGGCTAGTTTGGCTAGACGTGGAAGCTTGCCGTGTTTCACAATTCAGACCACATGCTGAGTGTCACAAGGTATTTAGTGTGCAGTACAATTGCAGCAGCTTCTGCGGGTTGCATGAATTGTCAGTTACTTTCTTGAGGCATATAGTGTGTTAGGTTATAGTCTACACACAGAAGGTTGCCCTGCTATCATTCCAACCAAACCTTAGGGTGCATTTGAGGGAACTGGAAGCAAGAGTATGGAAAATGAAAAGCAAGTCCAAAATGTAAAATAACTTTTGCCAACCCTTAGTATTAGTTGCTTCTATGTTGCCAAGTTGATGTTTACAGTATATTCTCTGTAGTAGTTCACCAACACTTATATTTGTATGTCATGTTAAAATAATCCAAGTGTTATATACCAGTATATATACTAGCAGTGGACAATTCAGGGTTCTAAATTGTACTTGGACAGCTTACTAATGGAGTGTATGACATCATCACAGAGGAACTTTGGGCTGGTTGTTGTGCATTTCTTGCTCAAGTTCATATTATGGGTGAGGTTTAGGCAGAAACTTACCACAAATTTTCCAGACTTCAGGCTGCTGGAACGCTTTGATGATCAAATGCTAATTCAGAGAACGGAGGTGCCTGCCTCTTCATAGAATCCACCCCCAAGCCTTGGTAAATATTGATGGAGTGGTAGCTCTTGGCACCTTCGTATCTCCCATTCTGTCCTCGTGAACTCTGCGTTCTAGGAAAGTCTCTGAGTGCATTGCACTGTGTTGTATGTCTGCCCGCAGTTGAATGATAACACTACTGAAGCATTGCCCTCTTTTTTTCCTTTCTGTAAGTCTAGGTGATGAGTGTGTTTCAGTTTTACACTCTGGCAGTCTAAAGTTAGTTTGTTCATTTCCTTTTCGTTATGTCTTTTTGTAGTCACATTTTTAAATGGGGAAGTACATGCATTTGTATGAGGTTTTGTTTGGTGAGCCTATAATACAAAGTCAGTCATCATACATGGTTGCACACAATACCTGAGAGAAGTGCAAGTAAGCCACGTAGTGCAGGAGCTTGGATCAAAATGTTTCAAGGTATTTCATTATTGGGTAGATGACAGCTTTTTTAATGACTTAATTGGTTATCTTGCATCTCTGAGACTTGGCTGCCAAGAATCCTACATCTGACCTTTCAGGTCCACCCCCTGCTTTGGCCATTACTAAAAGTTTTCATTTCTCTTTTGGGATACTTCCTCCGACCGCAGCAGGAGTGGTAGAACTAGGTGGCTAATGTGGATACCTTGACAAGGAAGAGCTTACCACTGAAGCCTCCAGGAAGGGTAAGACTCCAATATGAGTTAGTGGCAGGAAGATTTTCCTCTTGTGGCGTAAGATCTAAGAAGCTATATGGTGATTCAACCTGCCGGTAATTACCTGTAACCAAAATGGTAATGAAAATAAAGAACATGCCAAGGATTCTTCCACAAGCCAAGTTCCAATATAACCATGGTAGAATTACTGTTGGCTGAGTCAAGTAGTCATGACTCAGACTGTTCATGTATTTCATAGATAATATAGTTTGCATTGGATAAGAATGTTCTTTCCATGATGTAAGCTTTTTTATGATGATTTTTTTTGGTTACACTTATAAGATTTAAATAAACATGTTCTTGGGTAAAGAACAGTGAACAGGGGAGTACTTGGACCTGTTTTAAGAGCTGTGGCAAAATCTTAGCACCCAAATTAATGTCATAATTCTCTGTTTTATTAATGCTATTAATGTTAGACTAAGATGTGCTTCTTTTTGTACTTGAGCAAAATTGAACTGCAAGTTCAAGCTAAGTATTCAGTAATCAAAGTGCCTTTGTGTCTCTGGTTTCATGAAAGGTTCTTATAAAGGTTTAGCACATTAGTTCATAGTTTGCAAAGCCTATACAAATGTATTGGCCATGGATAAAATCTTTATAAATATAACTGTGTGCTATGGTTACCTGGGGACATTTAACTCCTGTACATTCTATTTGACTAGGAAACAGAGTTAGCAATTATGGTGTTTCATGTGTTACTAAGAAGGCAGAAATGTAATATTGTTATGATTTGTAATGTAGAACTATTTTGCATAAAGGCCCTGTTCTGTTAAGGGGATTTCCATTTGCTTGTAACATGGTTTCAGATGGTTTAAATAAACCAGCTGCTGATAGTGTAGCAGTGAACATTTACAATGACCTTTGTTACAAATATTCTACTAGAGGGGTTCTCAATAGCTTCTTGTCTGAAGCCTCACATAGGTCAGATGCTGTCTAATAAATGACTATCTGCCCCTGTTCTCTTCCTGCTAATAATCTAAAAAGGTCTTCCACTTGATTGCTTCCAGTTGTTTCATTAGGAAAAGAAGTAGAGAGAAAAAGCCCCAACAGGTGTACAGATAGCAATAATTACCTCCTAACCCTATCATGCTTGATCAAAAATTTTTTTTATAGAGTTCTACCTTTTATATAGAAAAGTCTAATGTTGTTACTGTCCTGACTACTTGTGTTCACAGTCCATACAGGTATTCTGAAATCAGGCCTGCAGCCTATCTCAGTTGTTATAGCAGAACTCTGCTCAAACACTTGGGGCTTGAATAGGGTGAACCACAGCACGAATCCCACTGCTGTCTATGATCCTATTGATCCTGAAGGGGTGAGGTCTCAGCCCTCCCCACCAGGCATTGTTGTGACAACCTGGGCATTGCTGTGAGCTGGACTTCCCGTTTTCCCTCTTTGGCATACAGTCTAGATTGTGCCTTTTTTTTTTTTTTTTTACTGACCCCTT